TATTTTCTTGATATGAAGAATAGTTAGAACACCTGAGAAGGCAACTGCAGTATGGCGTAAAGAAGGCATACCTACCCATGTACTGATATATATTATACAGCAGGTAAGGAAGCATTGAGAATGTGAACAGACTTAAGTTTGAAATTGACAAATGTTCTCCTGGGCATTTAGATCAGTAGCGCTTTGAATTGCATGCTCAAGCATTTAATCATAAAATAATGCACCAATTTTATTGATGAGAGTCTCAAACTGCCGGAGCAAAAAATTTTATGTGATGTGAAGAATAAATTAAGAGTTGAAGATGCGAGTACTGAGCTATCTAGAAATCACTTTTATCTAGTTTATGTTCAGATATTTATTGCAGAATGTGTTAAAAAAAAAAAGAGGAAAAAAAAAACGCCTGTCAGTTTTCAACAAGACAAATCCAAGATTTTTTAAATGTCTGTTCTACAGGGAATATTTTAAAGCTCAAAAAGTAATCTCATTGAAGGTAGGGGACCACTAGAGATATGTCCCTTCATTGGACATTAAGTAGAAAGGCAGATACTTTTACATGCAAGCTGCCCTAATGCTCCACACACACAAAACTAAATTTAAAGCATAGTTCTAGCCCCCGCCACTTCCCCGCCAAAAAAAATTAAAAGTCAGCAGCTACAAATACTGTAGCTGTCACTTACCTGTCCATGCATTCAGTGGTGTCCCCACCCCGAGCCAATTCTTCAATCAGCTGTCAAGTGCTGGTGCCGCCATCTTGACTAAGGGAAACCGGCTCATGCGCAAAACAAGCTGCACTTTGTGAATGGGACACTTCCAAGGTCCCAGAGGGCTGTGGGGGAGGGACTTCCAGCTCTGTTCACCGCGGAGAACTGAGCTGGAAGTGGGAGTGGGTAGCTCTCAGAACCAGGCACTTGCTCCCCCCTCTCCCCAAAAGGTGCTTAATATGGAAGCAGAGTGGGGTAGGAGACTGAAAAGCAGAGCTTCCACTCTTGGGGGGAACTCCGCTTTTTAAAAAGTTATTGGATATCAATTCAAAATTTTCTGCCTTGTACAAGACGATCAAGAAACTTCATTGACAAGCTTTTAGTCTGTAGATGGCATTGCAGATGCTGCTGCAGCCTGAAGGTGGCAGTGTTAATCTGTTTAATACTGTAATTGTCAATTGCTACTTGAAAAAAAATATTAAAACAGTAGTATACAAAATTGAAGTTTGCCCTTTAAAAATCTAAAAACTATTTTATAGTTGTTTTAAATATAAAACTATAGATATGCAAATTAATCAGTTATTGATGCTGAATTTGGCCTGGTCATCTATGCATTAATCATCTCTGGTCATGAAGGGTTATATGTAGAGCTTGGTCTAAACTATATGACACATTTTGTTGTTATATTTTTTGTAAGCATCTTATCTTATAAGGACTGCTAGTAAGAGGTTAAATTGCTCAGTATGATAATCGCTTTCTCAAAAGTGTCCCTTTAATAGTCGCATACAAGTTGGGAGGTTCAGAGGTATTGGTATAGATAGACACTCGGAGCCCTTACCTTACCTTTGTAACCGTTGTGTAGTTGAGGAAGGGGTGGAAGTTATTCAGAAAATAAAATAAGAGGGAATTGGGAGGAAATTGGGTGCAGCTTCCCATCAGTGATGAGCTTGAAGAGGATGTCTACAACTTGTTAAACCACACATGATCTGTCATTATTGGGGTGCACGGTGTGTCGCATGCATGCTGAGCAGTGTACTGTAGCTCATGGGCAACGTATCAGGTGATTGCTGCATTGTGTATTGGGCGCCTTGTGAATTGCATGTTGTGGTGTGGAGTGCAAACAGCATGATTTAGTGTTGCATTCATTCAACTAGAAGTGTAACCATCCACCCTTTCTCACTCCCAATATGGACTGAGGACTATGGACTAGAGCAGGGGTGGGCAACTGTGACCCTCCAGCTGTTGGTGAACTACAAGTCCCATCATGCCTCTGACTTTGGGAGTCGTGCTTGTAACTGTCAGTTTTTGAAATGCCTCATGGGACTTTTAGTTCTACAACAGCTGAAGGGCCACAGTTGCCCACCCCTGGACTAGAGAGTATGAGATATTTAGTGTGCATAGAATAGTGCACATGACCACAATTAGTGTGCATTGTTCCTTTTAAAGAAATGGAAATGAGTGGGAAAATAAGACTTTCGGAAGCTCTAGGCAAGGCCACTAAATAATAAATGTGTATCAATTATTTTTATTTAAAAAAAAGATATCCTTAAGTTTCACTATAGGGGTTCAATGCATGTTTCTGCCAAATCAAAGCTATATTGATAGTAAATAGTAAGTAGCAATTGGTGATTGCTGAATCAGCTTTTTTATTCTTTAATCTGCCCAAAGTCTCTTTTCTCAATTTTTTAAAAACATTATTAACACATAACTAACCCTAAATCACACATTTCTTTTACAAAGGGTTTATTAACAAATGACATATACATACAGTGCCAAGTAACTGGCATACCAGAAAGATGTATACAATACAGTACAAAATACAGCATCGGATCATGACTAAATAAAAGAAACAATAATGGGTGGGTGAAGGTCAAAAGTAAACTAGATCATAGCATGGAAGTGATGTTGTGGTGTTCAAATAGAACATAAAGACCAGTATCAACTTAAATGCTAGAGGTGGAACCAGAGGGCATCAAACCCCAACATTAAAAGAGATTACACAAAGTTACAGTGTCTGCTCGGCCCTGGAGCCAATGAGGTATCCTTGTACTAATGCATTCGCATGAGTAGTAGAAAAGGAAGATCTTCAAGAGGAAATCAGAAATATGAAAAAAAAGAAAAGGAAGAAAAAAGAGAGAACATAGGGGAGGGAGGTTCGTCAACACCATGGTATAAAGCATCAGCTATCTTGCACTGGTTCCACAAGAACTTAGCTAAGTTAGTCAGTCTCCACAAACGTGCAGAACACAGCAGCACAAGTGATGGTCAGCAAGGCAAGGTATAGAGTCAATCTAAATAATATAATAACAAGTACCATTTGCACGCCTGCCCATGTCAAGCTGTCACTCACGTGGCACGAACACTAACCTAAGACAGAAAAGAGAATAGAAATGAAAAAGAGAAAAGAAGGGGAAAATGGTCTCGGAGGGTAATGTGTTCAAGGTATCACAATGTTAGTAATGTATGGTCAAAGCTCAAGGGATAAGCATATGATATCTAGGGTGGCAAAACTCGCAGGAACTGGTCGTGAGAGTCAGACAGTATAAATGTCAATTTCTAGTTGACCATTATATCGTTCATACGATGTTTCACCGCTTCAAAACTGAGGGCTGATGTTTTCCAGGCTTTTGCTATAGTGAGTTTTGTGGTAGCAAAAAGGTGCTTTGCCAGCTCGCATTCTGCCCGTAATAATGACTCAATAGGTTTAAAAAGAAGGGTCTCACTGGGGTTCCTTTTTATATCTCAATTAAGTATTGTCCGTAAGAGTGCATAAACCCAGATCCATAATCTCATCGCCCTAGGGCAAGACCACCAGATGTGGGTCATTGTCCCCAGTTGGGGGCACCCGCAAAAGCAGGTCGTTGGATATTGTGGTAGAATTCTGGCCAGTTGAGCTGGCGTGTAATACCAGCGGTATATGACCTTATAGGCATTTTCTAAAGTGGTGACATTTCTGGAGCATTTTGAGGCCGTTTTAATCATTATCTGCCAATCCTCTGGTGTCAGGGTCACTGCCAGTTTGCAATCCCAATGTTGTTGGAAGGGGCGCAGTGGAGGTTTCTTGAAGGAAACGATAGAGGAGTATACTAAAGAGATTATACCTGTTGAGCATGGACGTGACCTACAGATGCTTTTGAAAGCTGAAAGGAGGTAGGGTGCTGAATGATGTCTAATCAACTTCTGAATAAAGTGGCGAAGCTGGAGGTAGTGAAAATGTTCCTGCAAAGGTATCTCATGGGACAAATGGAGCGCATCGAAGGTAACAATCCTGGTTGGAGCGAGCAAGGAATGGCATCTGAGAACCCGTGTTCCATCCACAAAGAAAATTGGCCTGGTTGGCAGATTCCGGGAGGAAATAATGGACAGCAAAAAAGACGCAAAAGAGGTAAATGAGGCAAAGTCAAGCCTGCAGAATATTTGATTGAGTCCCAGAGACTGAGGATATGTGAAGAAGAGCCATGGCAAAGAGGATGGGTGGGAGTCTACCATATCAATTGTAGCCCATAAGGGCAAACGGTATATCACACATTTCTTAAAGTAGATATAAACTCAATAACAATTGGGATGGTGTTAAGAGGTTTGCTCTATTATAAATTAGCAAATATACTTACCTGTCCAAATAATAATGCTGTGCTTTAGCTCTGGGACCATCCTAATCTTTTAAAGAGAATTCAAATTTTGAGCTGTGTGTGCTTTTGGACTGCTATGTCGTAGAATTGAATTAGTTACAAATATGTTCTATATGGAGGGTGTGCAGGTGTGCAGACATAGATTAGAAAAGATTGTTCTGTCAATAGCAGAGGTAAGTTGCATGGAAACTTTGCAGTTCCATTTCATGTGTTGTAGGAGTTGTTTTTTTTACCTATAAAATAAAATAAATGCTCAGCACAGAGGCTTGACAGATCAGCAAGATTATACATTTAAACATGACTATACATTTATTTTTTACATAATTTATCACTGTAATGCATTTGAAAAAACGTCTGAAAGGTTATTTCTATAAAATCCATTATATTGCTTTGTTCTTGATCATATAATACAAAATCTAAGAGAAAAAATACTAGATTGTAAGCTCCAAGGAGCAGGGCCCTCCTATCCCTCTTGTATTGAACTGTATTGTTGCTGTATTGTCACCCGTTATATTGTAAAGCGCTGAGCAAACTGTTGGCGCTATATATAAACCCTGTATAATAATAATAATAATAATAATAATAACAACTTATAAGCATGCAGTGGCTTTTAAGAAGTAAAACACTAATCAAGATGCAGATTCCAGTTTCAGTTACATTATCTGTGATTCTAGTGGCAGCCACATGATCTCACCACCATGTTTCTGTACTTCTTTAATATAACATTGGAATTGTCATCAAAATACAAGACAGAGATTCCCTGAAGTTCTGTAGGGGCACAAGATGGCTTTGGGACAGTCTCAGGATTAATAAAGTGAACTAAGGTTTGGACAATTGCATGATTAGTAGCATTCATGTAAGAGTTGAGTGGAAAAGCACATTCCCCTTCACAGTAGTAAGCAGCATATCCTTCTGGGGCAATTATCCAATCTTGCCAGCCAAGGTCACGGAAACTCACATACAGTTCATGCTTCTTGCAGGCCTGTTTCAAGAATCGATGCCCACTATTACTACCGCTGCTACTCATAAAGTTCTCTGTAATATTGGCTAATGGAAGGTTGTGTTCCTTTACCACCTTTTTGTCTTGGTGTGTGTGTTTACTGTTTGCAGAACGAACACTACGTAGGTGAATTGTTGCAGTTTTAAAAAATGCCACCATAAATGGCTGCTTCTCCTGTGGTCCACTTTTATCAACTAGACCAACTGATTGAGCCTTAACACTTTTCCTGTCCATCGTTTCTATTCTCATTTGTAGTCCAAGATTGTCCTGAGGATTATCCACCCAATCATTGCTTGATGCAGTAATGTCAAATGTCAACCATCCACTTTCTGCACCTGTGATTATCTGGCTGTCCAGCTTTAACAGCTGACTAGAATGTTCCTGAAGCACCTGGTAGATGTTGATTTGGTAGGTTTCATTGTAGTTTGTTGCATCTTTATATACGCGCAACTCAGCTGCTGTCACTTGTTCTCCAACTGGAACATCAGCAAGATCAAACCTGTAGCATTGGTGACAGAATTTGGTGTCATTCTCCACTAGGTTAACAAAACTCATAACAAAATCCGCATCAGTAAGAAAGTGGTTTTCATGAAGATGGACAAGGGAAGGATCATCCTTGGTAAAAAAATTAAAGTACTGAAAGCTATCTTTTCTCTCTTCATTGATACTTACTGAATTGTAAAGATTCATCATGAATATTGGGGCAGATGTCTTCTCATGTAAGTGAGGTCTTGGTCTATGAGGCAATCCTAAAACAGATAAAATCTCTCTCTGTATCTCTCTGCGTTCAGGACCCTTCAGTCCCCACTGGACAAAACTGGAGTGCACATCATTTTCAACAATTCCATCTGATGTTATGAGTTGCATAGAAAAGTATAAAAAAAATATTATGATGGTTCTTCTCCTGCTGCCAGTCCCAACAGTCATTTCCATGGGGCCTTTCTGCAATAGGGAGAACATGCAATCAAACCTCTATCAAAGACATAAAACAAATCATACAAAGTGGCACTTTAGAAATAAAATTTCATAGAATAGATATCTCAGTTTTGTTTGCAGATTTAGGGCCTGTGTTGGCAGGCTTTTGTTCACTTCAAGCATTTTCTACATTCCCATACTAATCTGTAGGAATGCAAGAGTTGCATCTGCCAATGAATTCTGAATTATCTCAGAAGAGAATCAAACTGATTCCATTGAAAAGTCCAAAGCCTGTTGACAGAGGACTTTAAAAATATAAATATTATGTATATAAAAATCAGCACTAAAATCAACTGTATTACTAACTGCTGTAATATTATCAAAACATGATATAATATATAAAAATTCATAAAAAGTGCATAGTATCGAAGCCAACAGAAACATCAATTAAATATACTTATTATATATGCAAAAACATTTAAATATGTGAAAAATAGCAAAATCTGTACAAATAAAACTGTGCAAGAAAACGACAATTTTGTTAATGTGATATAAAGTGCTAATGAAGTCCTGGTGATGAAACACAATGGTCAAAGCTTACATACGGCAACATCATTACATTCTGAATGCACGTGACAGGAGGAAGTTCTGGAGCAGTCAATGTATTCCACCTACACATGTTTAAGGGTTTTCTTTGCCCAGTGCTGGGAAAAGCACTAATACATTGCTTACAAGCCAGAACACTTGTATAACACACTACCACTCTACCTTGTATGTTTTCTTTCAAGATATGTGTTTATTTTTACTTTAGAGAATATATGTTTATTTTTGCTTTTGCAGAGCTACATTGGACCAATGGAAGTATACATATTCCATACCTGGCTGATCCCTGTGGAAGCAAGGAATCACTGTAGTGGCCAATAATTTATTGAGAAATATACTAGGGGTTCTCTGAATAGTGCCGATGCCGAGCTGGCAACCACCTGTGGTTACCATGCAGCCATGTGACATGAAACCTAGAAGGCAGCAAGGCCTTCTAGGTTTCATGTCACATGGCTGCATAGTAACCACAGGTGGTTGTCAGCTCGGCATGTGCACTATTCAGAGAACACCTTGTATATTTCTCAATAAATACAAGACATTCTCTGATTAGATAAGGTGGATATTGTGACATCACCTCATGCTTCTCCACCTAGTCTGCTTTGCATTAATTGAGAAATTGCAATACATTCTATGAATGGTGTCCATGCCTAGTCATCGATCCACTGTTGTTGATTTACTAAAACTGGAGAATGCAAAATCTGGTGCAGTTTTGCATAGAAACCAATCAGCTTCCAGGTTTTTTTTGTCGAAGCTGACATTAGAAGCTGATTGGCTACCATGCACAGCTGTACCAGATTTTGCACTCACAAGTTTTAGTAAATAGACCACACTGTGTTCACTAGCCCTATTATGAGTTGCAGAAGACAGCAAGGATCATTATAGTAGCAGTAACTTCATTAGTGATTCTCCACTTCCACAGGATTGGCCAGGTATAGAACATGTAAATTTGGTCCAAGATGGAACATACCCAGAAGTTATATTTAATACATTTCTGGAGTGGAGGAATAGCTACTGGAGTTTAATACCATTGGGACCACACTTTTGTGTTGTAGAAGGGATCTTGCTTACTGAACATCAGGAGAGTCTAGTTCAGACAGTACATGCATATACTGGAATAATTATTGTGTTTGGACAATAATTGCTGTTTAGCTGGAATCATAAATGACTTTATCTATGTGGACTGCACTGGTTGCACTTTATATTGCACTAAAAATATTTTTGTTTTAGATTTGCACAACGTTAGCTATTTTGGACATATTTGTATATTTTGCACACACATGATAAGTACTTTCAATATACTAAATACATAGACTGCTTTCCTATATAAAATGAAAATGTCATTGTAAATGACAGAAGCTTAGATTTTCACATATACCAAGAATTTTGTCTGCAAGGATGCAGATTTGGCAATATGCATATTACCAAGCTGTATATGTACCCTCCCCCCCCCCATTGTACCATGAAACCCTCCATTGGTTAAGGTGGAAAGAGCTCTACACTGTCCCTAAAAGAATGAATCCCTCCATTTGCATATGGCCATGAGAGTAATGGGGGCCTCATGAATGGTGTTCTTTTCAAAGAAAGGATTGATTTTCTTGAATTTAATTTAGAGTTCTGTGACACCTTTAAAAGCAAGAGTTTTGGAGATTTTTTTTTTTTTCTCATTGAAAACGTTTTCATTTTAGTAAGTCTGGTCTCCTCTTTGGCACCTTGCTTACAGTGTTCTGTCCCTGATTTAGATAGACTACTAGGAAAAAGCATAGTCTGTAAAACAAACTTCAGCAAGATTCCCAAGAACATTATTTGGGCTTCAATGCTTTTTGTGCCTGCGTATTTTTCACATTCGCATCTGTTGCCTTGAACTGCAAATTTGATGTCACAATCACAATACTGCTTTTATGACTAAACTGAAAACATCAACATCTGTTGACACATTACTAGGAAGAACCATCATCCAAAGGCTAAGCACAAGGCCTGGAATCTTTGTGCATTCAGAAGCAAAGTATTTACACATTGCATCTCATTAAATAAATTCCCATGGAGTTAGGGGCTGTAATGTATCCTCTTTGTGGTTTTTTCCCTTGGCCTCTCTATTTCCATGATCCTGTAATCCACCCAGTAAAGGAGTAAGATCATGTGAAGTTTCATTTGAATGAGCCAGTGACCTTGACTATACACAGCTCAGTTTATTCCTAAATCTTCATTTGTATAGAGTCAAAATCAAGCTTCTGTGCAGTTAAATGGCTTTACAATGTTTCAATAGTAATGTCTTGGAGGAAAATATAATGATGTAAAGAATAATTCAAGGACTACTAGGTAGTTTGATTCCTATCAACACATGTATGTTAAATATTAAAACAGATTTGTAGAAATATCTTTAGATACTCCAGGAAAGTTTAAGTGTTTCTCATTGTTCTCCTACCAATTGCATCTGTGTGTAGAAATAAGGCAAACAATAAAAACACAAAGCAAGCACTGCCACCCCTACATTATGTACTGGCCAATTCCCAAACACTGACAATTCAGATTCAAACTAGGCTGATACAATGCCCAGTATTGCACATGTAAATTAAACACCTGGGAACTAAAGTGTTTGTGTAGACATTTGTTTTTTAGTTTTGGATAGAAAGGAGTAAAACCAGTTTATTGTTTGTTGTCTGTGTCCCTTTTGGATAAATTTCCATCATGTTCTGTTCCAGAGAGCCAACAGAAATGTGAGCAAAGCTGTGCAAAATAAGGGGAATTCCCTTAGACTGTTTTTACTTATTAGATTTATCCTTACTTCTTCTTTAGGTAACCACTTTAAAATTCTGGGTTTTTTTGTTCAGTTACAATGGTCACCAAGGAAAACAGAGAGGGTGAATCTAATTTAACTTTATAGAGATTTTAACCCTTACCCACTCCTTCCACAAATTAAAAAAAGGATTTTGGCCAGATATTGACTTTAAATCAATGTCAGAGAATTGTATTCCTGATAACTGATATACATTTTATCATGTAGTTAATAGACTTATTTCACTTGCAAATGCCTTATGGTAGTACATTTGTTGGTATGACTTATATAATTTTGGTTAAGGGTGGTAAAAATGTATTAACTGAATTACGTTTGAATGCATGTGTATATTGATGCATTTGGTAAAATACAAATCAGGGCCCTGCCATTCAGTGTTTGAACAGGGCCATTTAAGTACATTCTTTGCAATTTAGTAATGATTGCCATGAACAATTTTTCTACTCCTAAAAATACAGCAGGAAGTGTGGGAACACCTTAAGGTGGGTGGAAATACCCAAAACTTCTGGGTAGCAGGAACATAATTAGGAACTATGTCAGGGAGATCCTGACAATGGGGAGTGATATATGAAATCGGGGTGAGTTGGCCTGCTACACTGCACCTATGGCATGTTCCTCACATTGTGGCATTCCATCCCACCTTGCTACTAGATGTGCAATGCAGCACGCTACAATGCAAGGTAACCCACTACCATGCATTGTAATGCGCTCTATAACAAAAAATAGTCCACCAAGACAATGGTGTGAATAGGCCATAAACATTTTTAGCAAACCCTTTACATAAACAACAGTAACACCTTGCCTTATTGTGATTTAGCATAAGGGCTACATTGACAGATATAGTGCCTCTTGCACTAGGCTTTATCTGCAGGTAGTGCTGCAGACACAAATCTCTACCCCAGGTCCTGCAATATATTATCAGTGTCAAAGGTTTTTTTATAAGGTACTCAAGCAGGAGTAACATTATCACTTATATTTGAAAACTCGCCATGGTATTTTCCAGTTTAGGGTTTTTAGGGTATACATATTTTAGAAGCAGTCAGGCACTAGTAGATTACCAATCTCTAAACTATCTAGCTGCCCAAGTTTTGCTTATACTAAATCAATTCTACATGATTTTCTTGTGTGAGACACAAGGGAATATTTGGTTGCCCTGTGTACAACCCCCTTAAAATAGAACACTACCTGTAACAGTGCTACTACATGGTGTAGTTAATAGCATAGCAACAATAGTGGTGGTATGAGCAAATACAATTACTGTATACCAAAAAAAAAATCAGAAAAATGGTTTCAGTTAGGCTAGCTAACTCACACAAATTTCTATAGTATGATGTTCAATGTGGTAGTATACAAAGTGGCTGTAGTTTTCTGTAAAGTAAATAAAAGGCCCATTTTTTGTAAATCACTGCTGTTAGTAATAAATATATATATATATATATCCCTTACCCAAGAAGCATATGTGGGTTATACTTACATTACGTTTGTAGACTGCACTGATGGTGATCTTCATAATGAATCAGGAAAACTGTTTGTGTAATAAGTCTTGAGCAATTGAAAT